AGGGCAGGGGGTTGGGGTGTGGGGTTCAGGCAGGGGGCTCAGGGCAGGGGGTTGGGGGGCAGGGGGCAGGAGGGCTTCGGGCTCCGGGGTTGCGTCGGCGCACACCGGGACCAGGGCAGGCTGCCGGCCCCTGCCCCGGCCCCACTCCGCTCTGCTCCGGGAACTAACTGGAACCATGTCCCTTCGGCCCCTGGGGGAGGGGGACGCAGGGCTCCACACGCTGCTTGCCACACCTCCAGGTACCTCCCCCGAAGCTCCCATTGGCTGTGGTTCCCCATTCCCGGCCATTGGGAGCTGCGGGGGGGGGGCAGTGCCTGGAAGCCAGGGCAACACACGGACGGAGCCTTCTGCTTCTCCCCCCTCCCCGGCCGCGGGGATGTGATGCCAGCCGCTTCAGGGAGCGGCGCGGGGCTCGAGGGGGGCAATCCTGCAGATGTAGTTTGCCCACCCCTGGCCTGGAGGTAGGCCAGGTGGGTGGGCATGCGTGGGCCGCTTGGCGGGCCGCAAGAAATAGCCCCGCAGGCCACATGTTTGAGACCCCTGGTAGATGACCTCCTGAGGTCCCTTCCAACCCTGATATTCTATGATTCTATTGTAAGGTGCCAGTCACTTGGGGGACAAAGCAAGCTATATACTATAAGGATAGGCCCACTAGAAAAGCATCATTGGAAAAAGTAGAAAGATATTTATTAGTAGATAGATCTAGATATTTAAGGGGAGACAGTGTTGCCTCGTGAATAGGGCACTGGCCTGGGACTCGAGACCTGGGCTTGTTCAATTCCCCTCTCTGCAACCGGTTTGGTGGGTGACCACCTCCACGTGCCTCAGTTTCCCTTATGTAAAATGGGAATAATTACACTGACCAACTTTGAGATCTACAGATAAAAAGCGCTGTAAGAGAGCTAGGAGTTATTGTTATAATTATTCTAATTTATACAAAATAAAAGAGCACCTATTCTGTTCTCAAGGTGTCTTAATCACTAACCACAATCCAGTAGTATAAACCCAGCAGCCTAAAGATAACCAGACGGAAGGAAAATTAAAAATCACCCAGTTTTTCCACAGAACCAGCTTTGATCCCTCAGTCCCGCCAACCCCCTCTCATATACAGCCAATAGATACCGAAGACACAGCAGGCATCTGTTTATTATCACTAGAGTAGATGGAGATAGATATCGAGTAAGTAGATACTATTGGGTTGGCCTATAACAATTTTGGCCATTCGATACAGTAGATGGCTACATAGCAGTGAGGCTGGTAAAACTAGACCCTGTTTGATGGATCTGTCCCCAAGGCTGGCATTGGAGAAGAGATCAGCATCACTTACAGTTCCAGTGGTCGTGGGGACAGCTGACATAGATAGCCCGGAAATCTGAGACTTGGTTCTGGTTTTTTCAATCCTTCTGATCCATCTCTTGTACTCCTGTCTCACCTAGAAAAATATGGAACAGGCTCATTGGCTCATGTAACCAATGCCCCATGAAAAGCTCAGACAGTTTTACACCACTCGGTCCTAAATCTGAACAGAGCAAAAGAACTGAAATTCTTGTGACCATATTCCCCACTGTGAATTCCAACACGTAAAGGGAAGGGGGATGAGCGGCCCTCCATCCCCTAGTTGCAATGAGCCATATTCTGACTCCAGTCACACCCGGACAACATCACTGACTTCATCAGGTTGCAAAGTCTGAATAGAAATTTAGCCTAGGAAATGCAAGTTGATGAGCTCCCACCAAACGACATGTTAATGGGCTTGCTGCAGGATTAACCTGGGGAATTTCTATGATCTTCGTTACACAGGTTAGGCCAGGGGTTTCAAACTCAAATGACCATGAGGGCCACATGAGGACTAGTGCATTGACCCAAGGCCGCATCACTGACACTCCCGCTCGCTGCCTCTGGCCCCTCCCCCACTCCACCCCTTCCATTAGGCCCCGCCCCTGCCCCACCTCTTCCCACCCCTTCCCTGCCCCATTCCAACCCCTTCCCCAAAGTCCCCACACCAACGCTGCCCCAGGGGGTGCAGAAAGGGTGCAGGGTGCGGCAGGAGGCTCAGGGCAGGGAGTTGGTGTGTGGGGTGCAAGAGGGTGAGGGGTGCGGCAGGGGGTCGGGGTGCAGGGTGCAGCAGGTGGCTCAGGGCAGGGAGTTGGGCTTCAGGAGGGGTGTAGGATGTGGCCATGTCTACACTACCACTTATGGTCAGCAACATTTATGTCACTCAGGGGTGTGGAAAAACACACGCCTGAGTGACATAATTTCACTGGTATAAGTGGCAGTGTGCACAACACTCTGTCGGTGGGAGAGCTTCTCCCACCAACATAACTAAAAGAAGCTGACAAGAAGTGGAAGCTTGGACAAATGACCAGGGAGGAGTATATAAATCTTGCTCAGGCATGCAGGAGTGAAATCAGGAAAGACAAATCACAACTGGAGTTGCAGCGAGCAAGGGATGTTAAGAGTAACAATAAGAGTTTCTACAGGTATGTTAGCAACAAGAAGGTGGTCAGGGAAAGTGTGGGCCCCTTGCTGAATGAGGGAGGCAACCTAGTGATAGAGGATGTGGAAAAAGCTAATTTACTCAATACTTTTTTTGCCTCTGTCTTCACGAACAAGGTCAGCTCCCAGACTACTGCACTGAGCAGCACAATATGGGGAGGAGGTGACCAGCCCTCTGTGGAGAAAAATGTGGTTCAGGCCTATATAGAAAAGATGGATGAGCACAAGTCTATGGGGCCGGATGCACTACATCCAAGGGTGCTCAAGGAGTTGGCGGATGTGATTGCAGAACCATTGGCCACTATCTTTGAAAACTCATGGCGATCGGGGGTGGTCCCGGATGACTGGAAAAAGGCTAATGTAGTACCCATCTTTAAAAAAGAGAAGAAGGAGGATCCGGGGAACTACAGGCCAGTCAGCCTCACCTCAGTCCCTGGAAAAATCATGGAGCAGGTCCTCAAGGAATCAATTTTGAAGCACTTCGAGGAGAAGAAAGTGATTAGGAACAGTCACAATGGATTCATCAAGGGCAAGTCATGCCTGACTAACCTAATTGCCTTCTATGATGAGATAACTGGATCTGTGGATGAGGGGAAAGCAGTGGACGCGTTTTCCTTGACTTTAGCAAGTTTGCAGATGACATTAAACTGGGAGCAGTGGTAGATACACTGGAGGGTAGGGATAGGATACAGAGGAACCTAGACAAATTAGAGGATTGGGCCAAAAGAAATCTGATGAGGTTCAACAAGGACAAGTGAAGAGTCCTGCACTTAGGACGGAAGAATCCCATGCACTGCTACAGACTAGGGACCGAGCAGCTAGGCAGCAGCTCTGCAGAAAAGGACCTAGGGGTTACAGTGGACGAGAAGCTGGATATGAGTCAACAGTGTGACCTTGTTACCAAGAAGGCTAACAGCATTTTGGGCTGTGTAAGTA